GCAGCATCTAAAATAAGTATTATTTTCTTTTATCTTTAAGCTTTGCTGTGCTGAATCATTATAAAATTTTTTTCTATCAGTTTAAAATCTATTTTTACTTTAAATAAAGCAAAAAAAAAAAACCAAACAAACTTGTACATAGTTACATTTTACATGCGGTATCCTGATTTCTATTGTGCTCCTTCGTCAAGGCCAATGAGTTCTTAAAAAGAAACTTTAATTTAAACATTTTTTTATCAGTACCTTGGCAGGTCACATTGAAGTCACCCGTGGGATCAAGTAGGGTCTTTGCAGTCATTAAGTGGGAGTTTCTTGGGTGTGGGGYGTGGTTTGGTTGGATTGACTATTTTTGGTGGGGTTTGAAGAAGCTATAATTGTTTAGTTGGATGAATGCCGAGCAGCCAATGTAACAATTCAGATTAATATTTTTGAATATGAATATTAGTCATTTTAACTTGTCCCAGAAGTCAATCCAACCAGTCGCAGCTTCCCTAAGCTATGCCCACACCTGATAAACCCCCGCTTAATCYGCAGGCCATCAAATGAATCGCTCTGTCTTAGACCCTTTCACCCCCTTGTTTCACAAATCACAACCTCTTGTTTGGAATGAATAAAGCCTCAAATGTGTGAGAATGGAGACCTAAATCTGACACATTACTTTAGTCATCAGATTCAAAGGCAGATGGACAAATAATAAGTTTGTTTTGTAGGCTTGTTTCTCCAGAAACAAAGCCAATATTAGTGTAAAATATACAACAAAAAGATAAAAGCAGGCTATATTAATTTGCATAAATGCTATTAAAAATAGGAAAATGGAAAATCTGACTCTGTCCAAATGCAAAATAAGGAAACCACTTGAGCTTTGCAAGAAGCAAAAGGATAAATTTTAATTGCTCAATTTCAAGTCTTTGTTCTTGGCTAAGCTAATTGGCTAATCGTGTAACAAATACTCTCACTTTACCCTGAGGAAGAAAGCGAGAAAGATTATTTTTTTCTCCACAAATGCTAAATTAAGTTAAAACAATTTTTAAGCCCACATCTTAGAAAAACACCTTCATTTATGGTTGTGGAGCTAATGACTGTAAATTAATTCTGCTGCTCAAACAGCTCACAATAGTAAACGTAAACACTTCAGACCCAACATTACTGGCTCAGAATAGGCTCATTTTTGATTTTGCGGGTAGTTTTTGCAATTCCAAATGAATCTCTAAGCCAATTTAAATAATTTCTCTTTATGATTTTTGTGATGGTTGAACGTACAGCCTGCAGCCATAACACCTCAAGGCCATGACTATCACAGAAATATACTCTTGACAATCCATTTATTCATTTTCTTCTGCCTATCAGGGGCCTGGTCTCAGAGGCACAGAGTCCAGGATGGAGAAGCAGACATCTCTGGTTTTGGCAGTGCACTACAGCTCCTCTAAAGGGAGTCCAACGTGTCCAAGGCCAGAGAAAATACTGGTATTCTAATCAGATGCCTGAACTACAGAAGCCAAGAGCGGCCATTTCCTACATATAATTTTTTTCCATGATTTTCTTGTGATAACATATTGTCTTTAAAACAAAATAACGAGGACCGTTTTATCGAGATAAGTTAATTTCACAACGGCTTTCTCAAGATAATGAGTTATGGTTTTCCTGTGCACCATCAAGTAACCATGGAGACGGCCAGATCCCCTCAGCTGGTCACCGATAAAGTTTATTATATCAGCAGGATCACTGTGTAAACWCCTGCTGAGCTGCAGTCGAGCCAGCCATCTCCTTAAATGATGAGGGCTGATATGAAAGTTATCTGTAGACAAACAAAACACAACTTTAGTCTGATGATACAAAAATGATGCAGAATTATGTACACTGTTGTCTTCAGGTCCAGGCTGGCCTTGCAATAAAGATCTGTGATGTCAAAGGGATTTCCCTGGTTAAACGCCAGTAAACTAATTAAT